CTTTTAGATAAATTTCTCCTAAATATGGTTGAGCCTTGGTCATGTAAATTTCACCTAAAAAGGATAGTAACATTTTTTCCATTAGGTTCTACAGAAAGTCTCAGCGCATCTTGACGAAGACTTTCCATAAATGATTCAAACTCTGAAGAATCTCCTTGCTTTGGAAATTGAGTAAGCTTGTCTCTTAGGTAGTGAGTGATGGTGGATACACGAACGTTGTGACGGTGATTTTTTTGCTCAGGTGTAGTCATATGTTCCATTTCTGGAGAATTTCCATTGTTTGCAATTGAAAACATCCAAAGGCCAATTTCCAAGTTACCAATATAAGGTTGCCAAGCGTCACCTCCAACATAGTGATTGAGTGACGTTTTATTTTCCAAAGCTGAAAATAAATATCATTATAAAGGATATAATAAAAAAAATTTTTATTAAGATATTTATTAAGATGAATTTTAAAACTTACAATTATTTACTGTTCCAAAATTATCGTAAAGATAACGACTGTTTGTATCCGAGAGGATTTGGTATGCATTTGAAAGCTTGTTCCACTGTAAATAATGTCAAATTAATGAGTTTAGGAAAGTTTAGAAAAGTTTAACAGGGTGTGGTACCTCTTCTAATTCAATTCCGTCATTTTTATCTGGATGATATTTAGAAGCAAGTTTTCTATAACTTGATCTAATTTCTGCTTCTGTTGCATCAGGATTTAATTGAAGAATTTCGTACAAATTCGTATTCTTTGGTTTACTAGATACTACAGTATTAGATCTTAAATAATTAGTATACTGTATTCTCCAAGTAAGCATAATATTGTTTTTTTGCAACTTACCGTCAGAGTCAGATTTCTTTGAATCAACTAGTCCAACAGATCCATCAAGTATTGACTTCCTGCGTTTGTTATATTCACTTTCATTTATTTCACCGCTGTCAAATAGACGTTGATTCGCTTCCAGCTCAGCTAAGATATCCATTTTCACATAAAATTAATTTAATTTTCTTTAGTATTCATATATGAATAATGGAAGATATCTTTATCAACATAAACAACTTAAAGCTTTTTAAAAATGAAACAAATATCACGGACTTATCGTTATTGGAATAATCTTTTAAAGTTAGCGTCGTGTAACTTTTATTTTCACGTGAAATTATACGATTCTAATAAGAAATACC